CCTGTGTTACTCTCTTTTCTAAATTCTGTCTCTGTAACCAAGTGTAAGGATAGCTCATTCCTTTGTGGTGGTTTATAGAGGGCTGTTGTGCATGGGAGTGTGAAATCCAGCGTGTGCTCTTGGGGCAGCCAGCCACCTGCTGTTCATGGAGCCACAGTGGGGCTGCGGGGTCCAGGCTGCCTGCGCGCTCCGTTATCAGAGGTGGAATGTCACCGAGGCTGCTATTTTCATAGCAATCAAAAGATGGTTAATTTTGGATAGCTTGGAAAAAAATGCTTCAGTCAAGGCAAATGCAGTTCCCACAGATTCTTCCATTTTAAAGCATAATCTGGGAACACTGCAGCAATCCGTAATGAATGAAACCCTGTACTGACATAAACAACCCTCAAAACCCCCCAGCTATCTGTTTGTGTTTGTCAAACTGCATAATGTACTGTGCTTTCTTTGTCACGTCTGTCCCTGTGATGCTGTCCTATGTAGAAAGACAGTTCAAATGCTTCAGAGTAGGGGCAGAGATAGCAGTATTCAAGTTGTTTGTCTTTGCACCCCTGTGGTATAGAGGGTGAGAGACATCTTGTCCCTTTTTTTTTAACGTGGGAATGAAAAAGTGAGTTACAGAATGACTGGCAAGTTGAGTTTTGTTTTCTGGCTTTGAGGCATACTTAGGATAAATATAGTCACAATTAATAAATGATTGAATTCTCAATTAAAGAAAACAATTTTCATTACAGTATTGATTGTTACAATGAGAAAATATTGCTGTCTGTGCTTTTGTTGCAGGTAATCCCACTTCCCAGTGGGAGATCTGTCTTCTCTCAAGATGTCAAGCACTTTGTTGTACCTGAAAATTTTAAGCCTGCACAAGTGCTGAATTCTCTGAAGTGGCCTGATAATCATCTAACAAGTAACAGGAAACTGCATTTCAGTATCACTAAAGATAATGATGATGTTCATTTTGAAATAGATAGCTTGACAGGAGATCTTTTTCTTTCCAAGGAACTTGACTATGAAACAACTTCACATTTCCTTTTGCAAGTTATTGTAAAGGATTATAATAATAATCCTCCACAGAATAACACTATCTTCCTAAGTATCGATGTAGAAGATCAGAATGATCATTCACCGTGTTTTCAAGATGACTTTGTAGTGATTGGCATAGAGGAAAATGTACCTGTTGGCACTCTGGTTTACACGTTCAATGCAAAAGATGGAGATGGCGGTTTTCTGAACAGCAAAATACAGTATTCCCTAACAATGAGTAACGTTGGTGAAAATCCATTTCTTATTCACCCTTCGTATGGCACCTTGACCACAGCATTTCCACTAGACAGGGAGATTACTCACTCTGTGATCCTTACGGTGTCTGCGACAGACCAGGCAATAAATCTGACTGATCGCAGGCTTGATTCCCTGGTTGCGAAAATTGTTATTTTAGATACCAATGACAACAGTCCCAATTTTATGTCTTCACCTCTTTCCTATGTCATGGAGGATGCTGAGGTGGGCTTCCTTGTGCACTCCATAATTGCAAAGGATCCTGATGAGGGAAGAAATGGACAAGTTACATACCACATTCTTTCAGGCAATGAAAACAAAGCGTTTGTGTTGGATAAAATCACAGGTACTGTAACTTCTGTTCTCTGGAGTTTCTTGTACTGTGCTTCTCACGATAATATTTGGGCGTGCACACAATGCCACACTGAAATACCACCTTACTATGGTACTCTACCCAGGTGACTTATCGTCCTCAGGGGTGATTACCTTGGGCAGAGCACCACGTGAGCATGGCAATACTACTTAAAATAAACAAGCTCAGTGAGACTCGGATCAAAAATTTCTACATGACACTGTTGTTGTGTTGTGTAGATGTACTGGAGCGCCTTCCAATAGTGCATTGAGGAATGTGGTTGGATCAAAAATTTCTACATGACACTGTTATTGTGTTGTGTAGATGTACTGGAGGGCCTTCCAATAGTGCATTGAGGAATGTGGGAAGAAAGTATGTGCAGTGAAATACTTCATTCTGATTTTTGCATGATGTGAACTTAAAGCATGTGCGCACACATATGTTGCTATACATATATACAGGAGGAAAGGCAAAGACAAGGTCAAGGGATGTGCGTTGCGCTGTGGCTGGAATATGTTCGGTGGAGGCTCAAAGTGCTGATGAACTTCATTCTTCAGCCCTCTGAAATTCTCTGGTTCCTGAATGAGTTCTCTAGCTATTATACCATCTGCACACAAATGCAAATCTCACCCTAATAGTTGCAATATTTTCTGGTTCTTATTCTGATTTTGAATCCATTATGCGATACAGCTGACACTGATCTGTAGAGCTCCTAATTGCATAACTTATGTGCAGAAGATGACAAATATTTAAGTTAAATGAAGTTAAAAAGTTAAGCCCGAAGTTAAATAGAAAGGAATCTCTGAACTTCACTTGAATACTCCATGAATCCCAGTTTCTCTTGATATCAAAATGAGTATTTCTGGGCCAGTTAGCACTCTGAAGGGAATCACAGGTAATGATTGACTCCAAAGTCTGGAAGCCTTGCAGCAGAGGCACAGCGTGCGTGGTGATGCTACATTTAAGCTGTGAGTGCTGGAACAGCTGGAATCCTAACCTGGAGCAGAATACTTTTTTGATACCTTCTTTCTTTATAATAGGACTCTTAACTACAGCCCAGCTTCTGGACCGTGAGATTCAGGAGCGCTACAGTTTGACAGTCATGGCTATTGATGATGGCAGCCCAGCTCTCTCTGCCACGCAAGTTCTAACTGTCATTGTTCTTGATGTGAATGATGAGACCCCGGTATTTCTGAAGCAACTTTACGAGACTACGGTTCATGAAAACCAAGATCCAGGGGAGTTTGTTATAAAGGTGGAAGCTGTGGACAGAGATGCAGGTGATTTCTGTCTGTCCTTTTTCTATTAATTTCATTGTGGACCATAGTAGACTGATCAAATCTTGCTGTCTGCTGTGCTTGCGTGTACAGCCGTTGTGCTTTTCCCAAGGTAATGTATGAGAGTTATTTCAAAACGTGGCTTTTGGTTCAGACCCTCAACCTTTATTCGGGGCTTGGAGGTATTCTGACGTGCGCACTGGGGTAGCTTCAGCTCTGACTGGTGTATTAAATGTAAAATGTGCGCTTGTATGGTGCCGAGTGGCTCAGTGTACTGTAGCTTTTGTGTGAAGATAGTCAGTGTGCTCTTGTTAGAAATCAGCAAACAATGCTCAGCTCGGTTAAAGTTAATGTTTGAACGTTTTGTTGCTCTCCATCAATGGGAGCATTTTGAACAGTGGTAAAACAGGTCGCTAGAGAAGGGTCCTGGTTTTGTGGCAGGGCCAGCAGATGTGCACTGGTCTGTTCGGACCAGAGAGGGGCACTGTCACCCAACGTTTTCCACTGGTTTTGCTGTGAAGGGTGGCGAGAGCCGCTCCGGATTTCACGGAGGGTGTTACATGCGTGAGAGTGTCCATGCGTTGCTTTTCAAACATACGCAGAATGGATGAGTAGGAAGAGGTGGTTCATATACACTTTGAATCACAGGTAAGGACTAAACGTGAGAGGGTCTTTGCTAAGCAACAAAAAATTCCCTCCGGTTCTTCAGCCACCTGCTCTTTTGAAATATCTAAAATACATATGATGTTACAGGTAGTCTGTGTGCTGGAGAGACTCTTATCTTAAGTAATACCAGCACAGTGCCTGCCGTTGGTGCGACATGACGCAGTTGCACAGAGTCTGTGGACTGCAGTAAAGACAAAATCTGGAAAGAAAATTAAATTACAGTACTACTTTAATTGGCCCAAAGCTGGTCTCAACTCTGTGAATGACTTTCTTTTTACTGTGGGTTCACTTTCTGCACGTCTTTAGAATTGTTTAAGATTGTGCTATCCAAAAAAATAGATAAAACAATAGATCTGGTTAGCAAAATAGGTTTTCTGTATTCAGTAAGATTTGTTATTTTAATGTAGAGCAAGTATTGGTTACAAAAGGGTGATGTGAACTCAGTAGAGGTGCTGTATAGAAGAGACATTTCCCCACAAGTAGGTGAAGTATTTTGAAATTAGGAATGGGTGGGTAGCCCTGCCTATGAAAATCTTCATGACAGCTGAGCAGCATTGCAGTCTATCTCTGTCCCTTGCTCTTCCAAGTATTTTCTTTCATGGATCACACTATAAAAAAGGCAGTATTTGAAGTAAAAATTTGCAAGAGAATAGAGAAAAGAAGTGGGAATTTGTTTGAATTCCTCTCCCTTCTTTCTCTGTCCCCTCTATTTATTTATTGCACATCTTGTAGGAAATACAGCAGAAGGGAAATTTTGGGAGCTGTTAGGAGGAGGACGCAGGGTGACTTGCAGGGTGGAGAGGAAAGGCAATCACCTGTACTGGGTGGCATGGGGTGTGCCTGCCCGTGCGGACACTTCGGGCTGGAGCGCTGGTGTGGCTGAGGATTCCTTCCTGCTTTTTTAAAAAAGTACATTTTCCACTAACCGCAATCCTTCTCTTGCGTCTTTCTCACATTTGCCTGATTTGGCCCCATGTCATGTGTGTGACAGTATTGTTCCAAGCAAATACTGAAGTGATGCTCATAATGTAAGAAAATAGGATTTATATAGGAGTCGTATAAATATAATGCAACTCACTTTTCGTCTTCTTTTGGAACAGAATTTTTGGGTAAGATGACTTTTCTCCTTTATTTTTTACATTACATTTTTTACTTTATTTTTATTCGTTCTTTAAATTGCAGTTGACATCCCAGTAATATTTCTGTAATCTCTGTGGAGGACTTTCCTCCCATCACAGATTTATTTTTTTAAATTTTTTTTTTTTTTTTCACTTCATATGTTCCCTGACTGACCACAGGGAGGAATCATTTTTACTGACAATATCAGCCATCATCAACCTTTTGTTTTATTTGTCTTTCTACTTCATTCCCTGTGAAGGGAAGAGGGGAAGGAGAAACTTCTGCTTGTAATGATTTTCTTTCACGTGGATTTCCATGAAGCATCTTGTTCGGCCAACTCCCTGCTGCCTATTACAAGAGCTGTGCTTACTGCAACTCTTAAGTTGCTGCACTTTCTCCGAGTCCCCTTATGCTGTGGGAGGTCTTCACCTGCCCCAAGGCCGCCATCTAACAGTGCAACACCAGTACATGCAAGTGCAAAGATGTGTAATACACATAAATGCTGGGGAAAAAATGCACGGGGAAACAAAGATACCTGCAGCATACTTAAGATAGGTCAGGGGTTTGTCTTGAGATATGTCTTTGCAGAAGCTCTGAATGAACTGAACTAGCATTTGTCAAGGTCTGCTTTTAAACTGATGTGCATCGCTGTGGGTCAGTGGTTATGTCTGGAGCCTTAGGAGAAAAGTTTCAGAAAGTTAATAGAGACCGCTGACTTACGAGTTACAAGACAGGGCTTACTGCCATTCACTGGACATTTTGTCTTGCTCATATTCATGGATTATCATGGTCTTAACAACACTGGTATTATAAAGATGAGACCTGAGCCTAGATTTGGGGCAAGGGGGACATTTATTCCCATTGCTTCTTCACCGCTGTTGGCACTAGACGTATCCACAGTGTAATGGCACGGTTGTGGCTTTCTAGAAGCCGTGGGAGCACAGGGGCTGCATGTGCTCTGGTGGGGGAATGGGAAAAGGAGCTGAAGCTTTTCCCTGGCTGCAACTCAGGCACCATGTATCCACCCTGCCATTTGACCTGCAGGGAAAGGGGTCCTTGCCATCAGCCAGTGGTAACATTGGGGCTTAGTTCCTCTTCCAACTCATAATGCACAGGAAGAATAGTTTGTTTCTCATTTGTTTGTAATTTCAGCCCACAAAATGTGACTAGCACTACTGAATAATTAACCAACAGGCTGGATCAAGTGCAAACGTGTCAGGTACTATGCCATGGTATGTGAATGAGTAGAGTCATCATGCTCCTCTCTTGGGCAGGGTGTGCAGCTTTCTCCTACTGCTTGATGTACGCTCCTGGCCGCTGGATATGAGAAAGGAGGCAGTAAGTGCTTGGTAAAGAAATGTAATTAAGGTGTCACGTGTCTGTGTCCGCTAAGGGTTAAAAGTTTTAATTTCAACACTGTGAGAATAGTCAACTTGGATTGCACCTGTATGCTTTTTCTGGCACTGTCTATGAATAATGTCCATTGTGAAATCTGCCAGTGAAGGCACTGGGTTGAAGCAGTTCAGTTGCAGGAGACCAAAGGCCAATAATTAACATCAGCCCTGCAGTGTCATGTGTCTTTTTTTTTTCCATCTGTAGCATATTGGTGATTAAGGATAGATAAATGCAAGCAGAGCTGTGAAGGTCTATTTTAAATGTAGTTGAATGGTATCTAATATGGGCAGGTCAGGTAGTGTGTGTTGGTAACCTTAAACTTTGAAGACGTTCTCCTTGATTGTCTTTACTGCTGTGATTTTCTTCTCTTTTCTTCTGGAAAGCTGGAAGGATTTCTGTAACTCATTTTTCCTTCTGCTGTGTGTTGTATGAATATGTCCCTCCTTTGACTTAGTTTAGGTGCAAATGCATTTACAGTAATAATTCTCTTCATCAAATTTCAGTAGCGTTGTCAACTATTTTGTAAAGCTATTCAAAGGCCAACAAAGGAAGTCATGGATATTAAAAACTGTAGGCTCTGTTTCTTCTCTCACGATGGTGTTTCTCCATCAACTCCAGTGCGGATTGTCCTGTTGTTGACTGTAGCAGATGAGAACAGGCAGGCACTGTTTCACTCTGAATAGCAGTTTTAGTATAACTACAAGTGCTGTAGTTCTCCAGGTGTGCCAACTGTCCCTAGCCTACTAAAAGACTGATTATTAGTTGGAAAAACACAGAATGATTGAATGAAACTTAGAAAAATTTTTTTTTAAAAAAAAAAGCACAATAGTACAAACCCTTCAAGTATAATGTAAGATTAAACTCATTAAAGTTAATAATGTAAGTATGATGAAGATGACATACTTTCCTCAGGAGGGTGTTGAAACTAGAAGAAATATGAAAGAAATTATTTTATAACCATAATAGCTAAGAATGTGGAGTCACATTTCTTGTTCAGCTCTGGTGGGCAACTTTGAAAGAAAGGTTTTTAAAAACCTGTTCCATTTTAGCCTATTTCCTAGAGAAAGATGGGAACACTAATATCTCTGTACTATATACAAGTGGTAGATCTGTTTAGGAACTGAATGGAATTGACATTCAAAAAAATTGGAGGGAGGGAAACTCTCTAACTTTAGAAATCCTGTGTGACTTTATAAAGCCAAGCAGCATCATTTCAGAGACTGGCTACAAGTGGGAGCAGTCTAAACGACCTGAGATGTGCTCTGGGAATGTGTGCTAGGTTGGCCTTTCTGTTGAAGACAACTAGGAGATGGCTATCCTGTGAACCCTGATCGAACGTAGGCACCTGCCTGCTCAGTATTATGAATATTTAGAACTGGTGAGCACACCAAGAAGTGGATGTTTTCTCTGAGTGTTTATACTGTTGAGTGTCGTGCAGTATAGAGATGCTTGCATTGGCTCTGAGTGAAATTAAGTAGAGAAGCAGAGATGCCAAAGCAGCCCAGTACTCTGCCTGACATCCTGTTGAGAAATAAACTACCTACCTCAGGGACAGCAGAAGACAAACGCATGGATTCCATTCCATTCTAAGTTAATACTCTCTTGCACCATGTTGATATGTCAACTTGTTTGGAGACATGCCCTGAGTGCCTAGGAATGGTGCTGGGATCACTTTGAGTGTCTGGAAGACTTGGGCACAAAGGAGCATCTGGACAAGGATTTTGAAGATCCAAATACTAAATTTGGATCTTTTGTGCTAATGAAGAAGCAGTTACTTGCCGCATTAAAAATAATAATTTCATCCATAAACCATTTCCTGAGGAGAGGGAGAAGAAAGAGACAAATCTGTAGACCTGAATGTGAGGAGAGTGGCTGTGTTTTACTAAGATTTCCATTCTGCTTTTAAGGACTGAATTCCTTGCTTTGGTATGAAATCTTACCAGGAATTGGTTATGAGAAATTCGAGATGAACTCAGACAGTGGAGAACTCATAACAACTGCATCACTGGACAGGGAAACCCAGGAGTTTTTCAGTATTAAAGGTAACAGTATGAAATGTCTATGAGTGCCTGTAAAATGGGAAGTGAGAGTGGGTGTGATGCTACTATCAGTGTTACCTTTTTTCATGCTGCCTGAATTAGATGGAAGTGGTTAAGATTTTCAGATACAGAAGAGCATGTGCTTTTTGCATAGCACAAATAACTCTCTTATTCTGCTATTTTTGAGGAACATCTATTGTTGCACTCACAGCCATTGTATAAAATTTGCTTTCTTTTTATTAATCTTAGTTTTGGTTCGAGATAGTGGAACCCCATCGCTGTCAAGCACAGTGACGGTTATCTGCACAGTGCTGGATGAAAACGATCACTCTCCCGTGTTTCTTCTTCCCATCTCTGAGATCCGTATTCCAGAGAACCAACAGCCTTCTGTCGTGTATGTTACCCAGGCTGTAGATACGGATGCTGGCAGTAATGGAGCTCTACGATACAAAATAATTGGTAAGTTACACTCCATCATTTTTGTTAGTATAAATCTGGAAGTATGTAAACAGCAGTATCCAAGTTTTAGTCTTGATTTTACCAGGCTTCCCTAGCTCCCATCTTGTCCACATGCTTCTTTCATGTGGGGAAAAACAACAACAACAAAAAAATCTTTCACCCTTTTGTCAGCATTAATAAGCACTTACCAGGCATACTTTCAGTCCGCTTTCTGGATTTGAGATAATACAGAAAAGAAAAACAAAAAACTACCAAATGCTGGAAGGAGGCATTAATCATGAAAGCATAATTTTCTCCTTTTTGTTATACTTGTGGAAGTTCTGAATGTAAATATACCCTAGCAAATAAGTACAAGAATTTATTTAATTTTATTTCATGAGAGCTTCTTTCACTCAGCAATTAGTAATGTCATTCTTGGTTTTCATATTGCCAAACTCTCCCCGTGTCCACTATGCCAATGTAAGCTCCACAGCTGTTCAAAATGTCCTGTAACATCTTTGCACAAATACAAGTTTGCTGTGCTTACTTTGGTTTGTGGGTCTCAGCAATAACTCAAATGTAGACAGATAGCTACTGTAGTGACAGCCAACACATACTTCTTTGAAGAAACAGTTGTGGATTCCTTTACGTTTTCTTGGGTTTAATTTCATATTCTTTTATGATCTTTAATTTAATTTCCTTTGTTTTTTCTACATGTTATAAAGTATGTGTGTCATTCACTGTTACTAAAAATGCTGACTTTTCTGTCGACTGCTTTATATTTACCTCCCCCTCCCCACCCCCCC